ATGTTTCAGTAACCATATTTTTTACTTACAGTCAAAATCGAACACGCAAAGAACACCAAAAATGCGGCAACTATTGAACGATTCATTTTGAGATGGTCCATCGAAGTAAACTAACAAGAGAAAAACGGAATTACTGTTTAAAATGCAAACCAGCTAAGTCACCAAATAAATACACAGACTAAGCCCTCTACTGTCGAGTCAAACGAGCTCCCAAACTCTAGATGAGCTCCATGAATAACAAAATGTGGTTATTTCACACTATCCATCTGATAAATTTTTATTTGGATACTGTCCTTTGCATGCCAATGTGAAGTGTCACATTTACCCTGGCATGAGAATGCTAGAATGCTCTTCAAGAGTTTTGGAACTTGAACAAGTCGGACGTTTTCTGGCCCGTTTACAACATTAAGTTATTAAGGTACACTCTAGGTTCGAGAAGCCCATTTATCTTTCTTTGGCACGGATCCACAAGAAACTGAAGCTTGAAGTACTTTTTAGGTGTGTCTTTTTTGTACATTATTATTATTATTATTGTTATTGTTATTATTATTATTAGCATCATTATTATTATGACTTGAAATTAATTTCTAAATGTTGTTGCCTTCCTCGATTGTGTGCTGGGAAGATGAAGCTAAACTTGTCAAATCATATATAAAGTTTTGTAAACTTATATTTAAGCAACTACGACACTGACCGTGAGTCTAATGTCAAAATTAAAGTCGACTAGCCCCTAATGTCTAGCAATTAGAAGCATCAAGCGTTTTCGTACTTCATTTTTTCTAAACTTTGCCGTTCTCGTGTGTCGATTTCTTTTTCTTCCTGAAATTCTTAAGTATCTACCTGAAACAAACATCGGTTTCAGGAGAATTCAAACTTTCAGGGGATTAAAAACTCATGAACCTAAGAATTTTTGTTTAGTTTCTTGCGAAAGTTGGAAACACTTCAAGCATAAAAACTTTTCCCAGCACTTTAAAAAGTTTAGTTAACTAGTCTTAACTTTACGGCAAGAATGGCTTCTTAAATGTCTTAAGAGGGATGGTTGATTACAGATTACAGATTGATTACTCACCTTGCAAATAGAACTCCAAACTGAAATGGTTTGAAGTGAGTTTTCATGACTTGTAGCATGGCTTTTTAAGATGTGTTGATATTGTTCAATAGAGTGAAGGAATCAGATATCAACTTTATCATTATAGTTATCAAGATCAGAGATATATATTAGTCTTCAAAGAAAAGGTGAATCAACATACTCTTAGTGTTTATATTGTTCAATAGAGTGAAGGAATCAGATATCAACTTTATCATTATAGTTATCAAGATCAGAGATATATATTAGTCTTCAAAGAAAAGGTGAATCAACATACTCTTAGTGACTCGGACATGAAGCATGAAAAAAGGCATAAAATTCCCCCAAAATAAATATAAACATTTACCACATTTCCTCCAATAACCGTCCGGGCTCTTTTTTTAACTGCCTTTCGTCTTAACGGAGGGGCTCTTATTTGAAGGAGGGCGTTAAACAAGGAGGCGCTTATTACGTTTTGATCCTTTCAACGAAATGCACCTTTTTTTGCGTAAAACTTTAATAGAAAAAATAAATTATCCACGTAAACGTAAAACAACACTGCATTAACGTCTTTCGACGTAAAACAATGGTTGGTAATCAAATCAAGCGTACCGGCCGTAGGGGTCATTGGTTGGTCCAGGAATTTTTTAATTTCCCATTGAAGCCCTAGGGATCTTTTGCAAGTAACAACGTTCCAAGTCCACATGCATGTTATTCCACCTTATAATAGTATCCTCAAAGATGGCCTTATCTGTAGTGTGGCTCAACATGAAAGAATATAGGATTACAATGGAAACTAACAATAGCTACCGATATTTCAGGCTTTTTGAGGGTTCCACTTATTTGCAGTATTATGATATGTGTAGAAAAGAAGACAAATTTGCATTTCAGCTTGCTTGAAATTTTATTTTGCATTTTCTTACGTCTCTCAACTTAATTTCACTCTAAATTTAGTCATTACGCAACTAAGGAGGAAAGACTTCTATCCAAGGCTTTTATTGCCGGCAATTTTTTTCAATGAAACTCTCAGTATTTGTAGTGCACACCTATTTAAAAGAAAAGCAGAGTTCATTCTCTCAAATACCGTGCTCCTAAAGATAAGTGTATCCCCACGGCCTGCTTTTTAATTCGTTAGTCGATTCAGGGTAGACAACATTTTTTTTATAATGAAAGAAAGAACCGTCCACACGTATCCGGATATTTTTGACTCGCAACTTTTTCTTTCCTGATACGGTTTCCGTCTAGAAGTATCCGGTGAATCCGACATACGAATCTGCAACTTTTTGATTCCGCTCTCCGGAGTAGAAATTTTTGAATACACTATGAATCCAGATTCATGTGGACGCTAAATGCGGATATTATTTTTATCTAGTGACGTCACAAGATCGAGCCCAGTTCTTTACCGTGAATACCGTAAGTTCAACTTCATCATCCGTCCAGATGATGGAGTCAACCTTACTCTTTAAATAGACATTTAAACTGCAAACGACCGCAAAAGAATATGCCGTAAAACGTAGGTTCTAACCAGCAAAAATATACACTGCGTAGACACACTGAATTCTGCAAAGCTGATCGTACTGCGTGAACATTAACTTTACAAAACATCAACACGACACCGAAAGAACCAACAACAGAGCGGGGTCGTAGCCGTCAAGACAGCTGTTTCGCCCTTACTCTTTGCATTTTCCTTCAGTTAGCATTCTTTCTAAGACAACGTTATCTGATTGCAATTAGGTCAGTATCTATTTTCACTATTTTAATTAATGAGATTTGGGTGGAGCTGTGTCGTCAAGTCCTTCAAACCCTGACCCTTTTTGAGACAAAAATCGTTCATTTCGCCTCTCTGTTTTTAACACAAGATACGTACCTTCTTTCATTATCTCGACTCATGTTGCAAGATACCTAATATAAGCTTTGCAAATTTATTTCCAATTTATATATTTTTACTGCTCAGATCTTCTGTAGATGACGATGATGATGAATGTGAATATATTTATAGTGCTCAGTACACTGAGGCCCCGTCCACATGTATCCGGATATTTTTGAATCTGCATCTTTTTTCCCGCTTCAAAAATTTCCACGTGCACACGTATCCGTATTCAAATCGTATTTGCCCGTCCACACGTAACCGACACGTATCGGGATTCACTCTAGTACCCAGGACTCCTCTGGGAAACAGAGCATGCGTCGTAAAGCGCCTGAAGTTTGCATCTTGCTCTACCTTGTGTTAGATATGATTCTCGATTTTATCGCTAGAATTATGGCAGCATCCGCTCGGAAAGCAAACAAAAACGGAAAAAATCAAATAGTATAAACTACTCTAAGATTCATTCATTTGTAGGCGTTTTTAAGGCATAAAAACAAATACAAATGCAACGGCTGTACGCTTGTCTTGCAAATTGATGAACCCGAGGGTGGTTTATTAGTAAGTGAATTAATTGCTATTTGGCTTTTTTTTTTTTACATTTTCCTTTTTTTTCGCTTTTTTTTAATATATGACAACGCTTTTGCAATCATAGAAAAGAAAATCAGTATTTTGCAAATGTATTGCCAGGGGGTTTTACTTCAATGATCTCGCACAATCGGATTTTGTCATGCACATGTACTGGGTAAAAAAGTTAGAACTTGCCTCCTTCCTGTACGGCGTCTTTCCAGGCCCTCTCGGTCAATGCATTTCGGTGACGTATCCGAGACAAACGCTCGGACCACGTGACACGAAACGCATCGGCCGCGCTCAATAATGAGGCCTAGGGACTAGGCAAAGTTAGAGCCACACCTAACAAGAACCAGCACCGTTTAAGTAGACACGTGCAAGACTAAGAGAAAACAAACATGATTATTCTTTTGTATTGTGCCTCCTTCCGGTCCTCATCCCACTGGCTACTCTATGTCTGAGGGTTACATTTTCCCGTATTCTTCTGTGTATATTGTATTTAGGCAGTTTATTTATCGTGACAGAAATAAAACATACAAAAATGCGAACCACTTTTTACAGCATATAGTAAACAGTACCACGGGAAAGTTCTGCTCAATAGCCTCCATTTGAATAGGATTTCATCTACGGGTTGAAAAGTTGGAACGACCTTGTGTAGCATATAAATAATGTGAAAAGTCTGCCCATTAGCGATTTTAATTTGAATGGTGACTTACAAGATATCTTGTGAACTAAAAGGGTCGAAAGAAAACCACCTCTGTTTCACTTAGATAGATAGATCGGAATGAACTATTTTCTTTGGCTCATATCTTGAGATTCCTTTCATTTTCTTTAGCCAAATGACATGACAAAACAAAATATTAAATTGATTACTTTTTTTTTTGTTTACGCCTGTTAAGTCAATGCGTGCTAAATGCCTTATTTCAAGTCACGTAATCAGACTTTTTCCTTTTGACCTCTTGTGCCAAATTCTGTGGAGCAAATTTCACATACACCCTTAATCGTTTTGCCCTCCGTCTGCCCTTTTTATTGCCTATCGTTACAAATCTTCCTATAAGCTACTTATGCCGACGAAAGAATTTTTTCAATCTTTATCACGTATTCATAGAAATAGTTGAACAAAGGTATGCATGTTTCCCGTAAATCAGAACCGATAAAAAAAACTGCACAAATCTGCCGCAATTCTGATAAAACAACGGCAGAAAGGCCAAGGTTCTACCAAGGTTCCAAGATTTCGGGAATGTTTTAGCTAGTGTCACGTTACTTCTTGTGCGGTAAAACTTGCAACCCAAGACAAATCATTAATCTTCTCTTGTCAGTAGCTGCCCTGAAAATGTCGGAAGGGTTTGAGAAAGAGGACTTGCTATTATCTAACTTACTTATTTACTTATTTGAGTAAACAAAACGTAAGTGCTGTGGTCACGATCTAAACGCATCTCGATGAGCACTGATAAATTAGGCAGCCAAATTTCTGCCGTAGGCCGCTAAGCTATTTGAAATAGTTTAAAGGCTACATGACATCGTCTGCGGAACTGTTGCCGAGTCAGGTCAGCGGATCGCTCCGGCCCTCCCGATCCCATGTTCGTCGGTCCTAATCGGTCCTAATCGGTCCTAGTCAGGCTTCTGTTGCTTGTAAACAGTTAACTGGTTGCCTCCTCATGCCTCTTCCTGATTAATTGTATTTATCTGAGTAAAGCGCCTATAAACTGTATCTATATGAAGCTAAAAGTCGCGTTCAATACAAACAAAGCTTTTTTATAAAGCTCGGCAATGCAGTATAAATTCAGGGTCATATTAGGTCTGGGATTTATAATTTACAAATTTGAAAGGATTACTGAAGAATTACAGACCAAGTACTTCATTTTGTTCCGGCCGTCCACCAAATGATTTATGTTTCGACCAACCCTCTCTCTTTCCAGTCCTGTAATTGTCTTTCGGACACTTGTATTTCCAAGGTTGTTTCAGTGTTGTTGTTTTTAAACACAGCCGCACGGGTGATCTCAACCGTTGGAATAAATGGAACAATTTAACTGAAATTTTTTGTGTCAATCCGAGCACTAGAAGTAACTATTTCGAAATTTTGTTCGGGAGGTATTTGTCAAAGTAAATCGAGCCTATGGGTTTAAGGGTCAGACATGGATCATGTGGATAACGTAACATCTCGGAAATGAATAAACGATTACCCGGAGAAGTTGTAGGTCACTTGAACATTCAGCCCTGATAAAAAATATCTGCATCACAATCATTTTTTAGAGGCCTTGAACCCGGGGGGGTGGGGTTGTGGTATTCGACCAATATTTGGCTCTACGCGCCTCGTTGGCTATCTACCGTGATCTCATGTCCAACGCGCACTCGTGGAATAATTGTTAATTCTACGTTAACCAAACTGTGCATGTGAGTTCAATGCTGGAACAAGGAGCCTATAGGCCCCTGCTGGACTGACAATGACGAGATACATTCTTGTTCCCAGAGCTGCGATCCTTTTGGTCATCGTCGCGCCGCGCCCAACAATGTTTTTTTCTTCTCTGTAGGTAAATCTTTCTTTACATTTTTGCATCACTCAAATACACTTATCATCTGATAGCTATGGAAATAACAACTAAAGGCATTGCCTCCGTTTTTTTTTTTTTTTTTGCCAATTTCAACACAATAGTTTCGGAGAGATCCCTTTGCAAAGAATGTGTAGGTTCATTTACTTTTTTGCTACCTGGTAATTTCGAGGTTTTTTGCTTGCTGGCCAAGAGCTGAAATCTCATTCTGTGGGTGCGGGTAAACAATGACGTAGAAAGAGGTCGGTCAGCGGCCTATTTCTGAGCGGCTACTAAGCACAACAAACAAGATGGCGGACACCGACGAGAGTTGATGTCTTCGGCTTTCGTCTCATTCTACCCAGCAGATTATACTGGTAAGTGAAAATAACGAAGGAATTCTTCAGGATTATAATTTTCGTAATGTTCGCCTTGTGCCTCGCGGCTCGTCCAGATCGTACGTTTTACAAAACAGCGAACAGAAAGCGCGCCTAAAAGCCCCAGGTAAAAATGTAGCACTCGGTGCTACGAGCTAAAAACAGATGAGCATAATATTACCGTTTAGTAAAATCCAGCTAGTGGTCTATTATCAATACTGCGTTCTGATTGGTTCAGCTACTACTAGGCTATATGTTATAGCCCAGTAGTAGCGAAAGCGCCGGCTTTTTGGCGGCAAGAAAAGGATTACAGTCTAGCTTTAACCAGCTAAAATTGTATTGTATATTGTAACGATATTTTTGACCAACTAGTTGTATTTTACTAAAACAATTATTCCTCTCGCCCTCATGGCCTCTGAGTAAATAGCCCATTCGGCCTTCGGCCTCATGGGCTATTGACTCAGAGCCCTTTCGGGCTCGAGGAATAATTGTTAAAAATCCTGTATTAATCCCCCCGTCTCAAATAAGCCCCCTCCCTCTAATAAGCGCCCCCTTTTCAGGGGAATAAAGTTAATGAGCTCCCTCTCTATTAAGCCCACCTCTCCCCTACCCTAATTATTCTTCACTAATGAATGAGAGACTGTATTAATACAGGATTTATGGTATTTGCAGCCAAACACAGTTGGACGACATTGCGCATGAGCAGACCATTATTTGTAGGCAGTTATTTGAATGTCGCGTGGTGGGCTTTTGGCCAATGAAAAGGAAGAAATGTTTGCATCAAATAATAATCGGAAAAAGCCTGCACCAAGGAAGCTCAGTTTATTAGGAGACCCTCCTGCGACTTTCCGGCATGTGAACAGGGCCAAAGATTACACGCATTGCATGGCGATAAATATGTTTTAAAAAGAAAAGGTGATATCAATAAATACTAGAGAATGGTGTTGTATTAGTAATTCAATTAATAGTATTAGTGATTCAATTAAGGAGGAGAATTTTATATTGTCCTTATTGGCTGTTCCTATTGTGAATCTGTCCTTACAGCTTTTATTGGAGAGAAAAAAAAAACAAACAAAACAGACTTCCAACAAAGGATGATGTAAAAAAAAAAGGAAGAAGGAAAAAAAAGTAAATAAAATGTAGAAAAAGAAAGATTAAGCAACAAACATTTGTAGTATAAGAATGTCCTTTCTGCTGATAAAGAGAGAAAATGAATTAAGAACAATTCAGTTTTATATCTGAAGCGTATGTATTTGTTCTGTAATTACTGGAATTAACACTTTTGAAATAAATCTAGCAATTTCTTGTTAGAACTATCATCTAACAAGCTTCATGGAAAAATTACAAATAAATATAATCTGTGGACATATTAATATATCTTTGCTAAACAAAATGATAAACAAAGTGTAAATATACATTATACTAGCTGTCTATATGATCAGCTCTCTTGGAAAAGCTACCGTAAGTTGGAAGTGTCACGTTATATGCAGTGACATCACCCTACTCTTTCAACTAGATCTTTCTTAACTTTGGATATCCTGTCAAATGTAAATAAAATAAAAGCTACTGAGCACTTCTTTCTGGTTGCACTGTTAATTATGCTTTACGAAGTAGTTCTAACTTTTGGGTCTGTGGATGAAATCTTATGGTGTGACCATTCAAATAAAAGTTACTGAGTAGTACCTTCCTGTGGTATTGTTAATTATTCTGTACAAGGTTTATTTGTTGAGACTGCCGATGAAATCCTGTGGTGTGACCATTCAGTGAAAGCTACTGAACAGTAATTTCCTGTGGTACTGTTTATGATGCTGTACAAGGTGGTTCTAACTTTTGCGTCTGTGGACGAAACCGTTGGTGTGACCATTCAAATGAAAGCTACCTGAGCAGTACTTTCCAGTGGTACTGTTGATTATGCTGTACAAGGTGGTTCAAATGTTTGAGTCTGTGGATGAAATCCAATGGTGAGACCTTTCAAATTATCTTGTGCATCTTATGAGGCAAAACTGGGCTAACTTTTGCAAATGTGTGGAAAACGCAGAGTGTAGTTGTTCAAATTTCTGTTTTACTAAGCGAATGAACTTCTTGTGAGATTTCTTAACTATATACTGTACAATGTGGCTCTATACTGTCTAAATCCTGTGCTTTAAGTCCTAAATGTGTTTAACAGATGCGCTGAATTTCTCTTCATGTCTTAAATATAGAATTTGATGCTTTGTTTCCTTATTTTTGAACATGACCATTTGTACATTGTTAGTAGAAAAAATCAATTTTTAATCTATTCGCTAACGTCTCTCTTCAGTTCTTGCAGTAGAGGGTAATGGTTGCCCTTTTGTTTTAGCTTCAAGTCTGGGTGTTTCAGTGAAGGACCCTTGGGTTACATAGGTTTCATTTATTGTCTCGCTTGTTTTCCTCAGGTGTAGCTCATCACTTGAATTGTCTATGTCATGTCCAATAATAACCGTTGGGGATCTTTGTGGTAATACTTCCAAGGAGCTTGTTTTTTCATCTGGTGTTAAAACATGTGTTTTCTTCTTCTTTGCCTCTTGGTCCTCGCGTTTTTGCTTTCTCCACTTCGCTCTCCGATTTTTAAACCACACCTGCCAGAGTAACACATAAAAATAAGTCGGTTCTTCAAAATGGCACTTATTAATTTACTTGCGCCGCAAAGATGGAATAGCGATTATGCTGAGTGGCAAGCTTATTATTTTTTTTTTATTTTTTACGGCTATTACTCTTGGAGACAAATATCAGTGTACAATGATAGATTTGTTTTAATCAGAAAGCTACAAACGAATAACGCAACCGTAGAGATAAAACAAGGAACTAAATTTGGAACCCCAGCATTAAGCTTATGGTTGGTACACTGCCATCAAACTAGTTCTGTTGAAGGTTAATTTATACTGAATAAACCTCCAAAAACTTGGTCAATTTCACCATTTTCTAAAAACTGACGTAGTTGAGACGGATTATATATTTTTTCGGTTAGTGACACAGGCTGTCTCGTGTACTCCCAACAGAGTCTAATTGTAGTCTTTGACCTCAAAATACTAACGTTTCATTCCGGAAGAAGAAAAGATATGTATAACAAGTTCGGTCTAGTGTCACTTCACTTCTATATTCAGTTTTAAATAGCAATTTAAATTTTCCCTAGATTATCTATTGCGGTAGACTAGGACCGTATTATTAGAACACAACCGAACAATTTATTTATTGTTCCTGCTGTGCCAGGCTCCCAGATAGTAGGGACGTCGCTAAAACAGGGTCAAGGGAAAATAAGACAAGCGTGATCTGTTTTTCCCATCAGTGTTTACGATCTACTTATGCACATCACTATCTTGAGCCTGGAACAGGCTAGTGTTATGATAGATGCACTAGTTGGAGGCAGGAGTTTCTGCTCGGAGGGAAAGGAGAGAGAAAGGCAGGAAAAGCTGAATCATTGTAAATTATTCTTCAACTTTTCGGCTAATTCGGACCCGACCATCAGTTTTGATCGAGGTCTAACTTAGGAAAAGTCTTACAGACGTTTCAAATTCTAGAACATGCCCCTGACGAAACTATGTACTGCTATGATATTGTTTAAACATCCATGCTAAAT